TGGTGCTCACTAGGAATGCATAAGCAAAATTGCACAAATTTTCACTTGAAAGAATAGTGAACAATCTTGGGATTTTTTTTCTGTTAAAGTTTCAAATGGTGTGTAAATTGAATACACTTCATCTTCAGCATGTTTAGTGCCACTTTTGTAAGTAACCACGCCCCCGGCTAGGCCACGCCCCGGCCAGGCCACGCCCCTTCCGCTTTTTTCATCACTCGCCATTGCCATGTATGCGCTTTGAACATGGTCGATTGGCGCCGAGACGAGGCTTCTTGGTATGTTGACACGTACGCGTGTGCGTCCGTCAGCCTGTTCGTCCTTTCCAATGAGACGGTGAACATCTGGACTCACCTGCTGGGCTTCCTGTTCTTCTTCTTCCTGGCCGTGTACCACATGGCGCACGTCCTGCCGCAGATGGGAGTCTCACGTGAGGACTACGTCATCTACTCGGTGGGACTCTTCTGCTTTCAGGTACGCGCGCCTTGTCGGCGATTTTTTTCTTTTCTTGGCCTCTGTTATTTGCGTGTGCGTCGGGGTGACTTGCCACGTCATTGTTTTGCTGCTCAATGAAACACCCCAAGATGATATCCCAAGCTAACCCGTCACCGCTGCGCGCGCGCGCGTGCAGCTGTGCCTGCTGTGCTCGGCGGGCTACCACGTGTTCTGCTGCCACCGCTCGGAGAAGACCAGCCGACGCTGGATGGCCCTGGACTACGCCGGCGTGTCGCTGGGCATCCTGGGCTGCTACGTGCCCGCCGTCTTCTACGCTTTCTACTGCAATAACGTGAGGACGCCACCGTGGTGGAGGGGCGGGGGGGTGCTTATTAATGACGAACACCATTTTGGACATTTTAAAATGTTGATTTGACCCCCGCAAGACACTTGTTGATTGTTTCCTCTAAAAAAATAGAAAAACTGAAGCCGTGTCCATTTTTGAACGTTGTCATGTCTTGGAAGATGGAAACTATTGACAGTTTTTCACCTTTCAAAACCAAACCCTTGAGGAAAGGAGTATTGATTGGTTGATCTTTGTGTTTGTCTCAGTACTGGCGGCAGGTGTACCTGGTGACGGTGCTGGCCATGATCCTGGCCGTCTTCCTGGCGCACATCCACCCCAACTTCCTGAGCAAGCAGTGGCGCCGCCCTCGCTGGCTGGCCTTCTGCGCGCTGGCCTCCAGCGGCCTGGTGCCCGTCGTGCACTGGGTCTGCGACGCCGGCGGCTTCTCCTCGGAGCTCGTACAAGTGAGCTCGCACGTTTTTTCATTGGCCTCCACGCCCCGCCCCCCTTTTTTTTCATTATGATTGTTGCTGTTGGTCTCCCTCAGGCGTTCACCCCGCGCGTGCTGGTCATGTATTTGATGGCGGCGGCGGCGCTGCTCTTCTACGTCTCCAAAGTGCCCGAACGGTACTTCCCAGGTCAGCCACAGACCACTCATTCATCAGTTGTTTAGTCTGCAATGAAAAGCGTGCAACAAATCCGCCCCAATATGATTTTCACGTTAAAAAAAAAAAAAAAACCTGGAGGGGGAATGAAATTTGTTATTTCTCGTCATTATTCTCTTCAATTTATCCAAGGTTGGGTCGCGGGGGGGGCGGGGCGGCATCTTAAGCAGCAAAGTGGAGCGCATCCCGGGTCCTCCTCGGGGCCTTGCATTTTTTTTCCCACCCCTGATGAAATGTTGCGATTGGGCAAAACGTGAAGTCAATTTCACGCGATGTGTCGTTTCAGGGCAGCTGAACTACGTGGGCTCGAGCCACCAGCTGTGGCACGTGCTGCTGCTGCTCATGTTCTACTGGTGGCACCAGTCGTCTTGTTTCATCATGGCCTACAGACACAGCCGGCCGTGCCCCGCCGACCTCGTTGACGACAACGCACACTCGTAGCCGACGTGGAAGTCAACTGCAGGACGCTCTTATTCAGAGTAAGAAAAAAAAAACCATCTAGTTTGTGAAAGACTTTGTGATCAACCGGCCAATCGTAATCGGCTCGACCAAAAGACAATATCATTCTTGTCGGAACTTGACCATCCGACCAAGTGCTCGACTAGACCATTTCTGACAGTCGCTCATTTCTTCCCGCGCTCCCATATGTTTCTTTTTCTTCTTCCAGCATGCATGCCTGCTGCTTCAGAGGCCGCCAGTTCATCACAGGAAGACCATCGCCACTGCATCATGTTAGCATTTCACATGCTAGACAATCATCACGCAGCTCTACGCAACTTCCTAGTATGGACTTTGCGGGCAAAAGAAAAGGTTGCTGCTGATTGTGCGTGACAGATAAGTCGCCGGCAAATTTGTGTTCAAAAAAAAAAACATTGGTGAATGCTAACTCCGAATGTGTCTTTGTTAGCAAACGAACCGAGCAAGGTAGCGAACCAGACAGGCATTAACACTGGAGTCAACAGGAACAAGCAGCGAGTGACAATGAATGTGAGTGTTTTCTTCGTGTTGTAGCAGACTTTGTGTAGATTTGGTAACTAGGTGGAGGTTTTATTCGGTGGACATTTTATGTTTGAGAGATGCTCTTTTTAGAGGGCTGTTGGACATGCGGCCTGGTGGTCGACTGGTTAGTGCGTCGGCCTCCCGGTGCGGGGTTCGATCTCGGCTTCGGCCTTCCTTTCTGCAGTTTCCGTGTCCCCCCCCCCCTTGCCTATGTGGCTTTTCTCCGGTTTCCTCCCACATTCCTAAAACATGCATGGCAAAGGCCGTGTTCATGGTTTATGTGTTTAAACACTTTGCATTAATAATTTGCTTCATTGTTTTTGTAAGAGCAAAAACATGTTTTAAAAGAATCATTTCAGGTCGATTTTTTTTTGGTCTTGTATTACATTGTGTACCTCCAAATAAAAAGTGTGAGTTCAAGGAGTTGTGACGTGCTATATAAAAAAAAAACAAAATCAGTCACATTTCTCAAATATATTTGAACTCAAGCTTTTTCCATACAAAATCGAAAAGGAAAAAAAAATGCATCAGCCTAAAAATATCAGATTGCGTCTTACAATCAAAAGAGAGCACTTAGGCGAAGAGCGGTTGCAGAAAATGTGTCCAAATTAAATTAAAAAAAAAAAAATCACCACAGTTCACAGAGTCAATGTGAGTTAGAACAAAACCAATCCCTTCTGGTCCACGGTGACATGCATAGAAAGAGAAGGGCTTGAACAAGAACAGAATCAAAGTGGTTAACAAGGTTTTCCCCGAGGTACTGTGCAGCAAAGGCGCTCCCCCATAGAAATGCTAGTAAGGCTTTGCGGCGCAAAATACTGTGGTACCTTGCCTTACGAGTTGAGTGGGTTGGAATTGCTCAATAAACAGCCGCTCTCCTTGCCCAAATGTGAGGGCACAACAGTACCTTTGTTACTCAAATTTTGGATCGCAACTCAAAAGTAAACAAAAATGACCAAGCTATGGCTTCTGACTAGAAAAAACATTGGGGCACTCATAAGTCAAGGTACCACTGTAGTATCAAAAAAAAAAAAAAAAAAAGTGTGCAGAACAGTCACACAGAAATCACAGTTTGGAGAAGGTCGCTTCTGCAGCATCAAAACAGCTAAAACGATATGCAAACTCCAGAGTCCCACAACAGGATTTCAGGGGTGTTGGCAGTTTTGGTTGCCCTGCCCCCGCCTGCCCGCTCGCCCATCCAGAAAAAAAATGGGGCTCAGGAAGACTAACGCAAGAGTGGGTCACTCTTTAGTGAGAAGCAGTTTAGAATATGTACGCCATACTTTTTGACGTGAAGGGAAGTGGGGGAGGGCTAAAAATGCGACTGCATCTCTTGTGCACTTCTGTGAGCCCCCCTCCCCCCCCCTGCAACATCTGTCCATGCCAACAGTCAGACGAGGACTTCCCAGTGATGATGGTTCACAAGTCTGTCTCAGTTTCAGGGAGACGGGTCCAAAAAAAGAATCTCATGTACGTAAAGTGGTCTTGCCGATCTCGCTACTACTTGGTTTGACATTTCCTGTGAAGAAAGGACTTTCCACTGGTGGGGCCCAGGACATCAGGATTTCCCCCATCGGAAGCACCTGGGAGTTCTCCCCTTGGGGCTCTCAAGGTCTGCCTTGTTCTGAGAGACCCGGACACCTTCACCCAAACGGGGACCAAAATAAATCTCGGCAGTCTTGCATCCTCTGGTCAGCGTTGCAGTGCTACTTTATAAATAAAAAAAAAAACAGACCGGTAGGTTAGCGCAGTACCAGTGGAACAGTCGCAAATTAGAAATAACTCTTTGTGCTACTAATGAGTATTACAAAAGAACCCTGGCCCCCCCAAAAAAACTTCAGTCTTGTTTTAGAGAGCCGCACAGAACTTGGAATTGTGGATCATGTCGAGTGCTGCTTGATCAACAAAATGGGCCCACATTGGAAAAGTTGCGCATTGGATATCCCAGTTGAGCGTGACTTAAGATTTTCAGGGCAGCGCACCCAAAAACTCGCCGCCGTTGCCTGCCTGAGTTGGCACCGTGCGAGCCTCCGCCCAGCACGATCTTGTTTCTGTGGAACGAAGGGCTTGCCTGTTCAGGCCGGTCGTGTCGACCAGTCTTTGTGGGATATTTGCACTTTAGAAATCACATTTTGGGGTTTGCTTGACGGGAGCGCCAGTCAGGACTTCCCATTGGCGGGGACCGGATCACCCATGCCCGGACATCGAGCCGACGGGTTCAAAATCACCTTGGCAGGAGGTACGTTGTCACGAGCAGAAGGTTGTCCTAAACAGTACCCACCCCAAATCGTCTGTGGTTTGAGAGGGACTTCCGAGAATGCTCCGCTCGGGCCAAGCTTCAGAACCCCCGGCCTAGGACATGGTCTTGTGTGCTCTGGTTGAGGTGCCGATTGTTGGGGGGGGAGGTTCATTAGAAATCACAGTTTGTTGGGTTGCCAAAGGTTCTCAAGTGCAACAAAGGACGTCAGGCCCAAAACGTCCTCGTTGCAACTTTATGCACTCAGTGATGCGGTGCCGTTGTAAGTGGTGGCGCATTCGAAATCAGTTTGTTGGATTGCCAAGGTTTCTCTCTCATCACGCCGCGGCCTAAAAAACAGCTTCGGGGGACTTCGGGATTGAAGTGGTCTCAAAAAGTCAGGCGCCGTCTGTTCCACGGACTCTTCCGGGCGACGTAACAGCAAGCGGTCAGAAAGCGAAGACGTCCGAGTCACTGCTTGGATGGAAACGGCGCGGCACCAAACGGGTCCAGTTCGACCGGCTGCTGCCGAGGTCCGCCGGGGACCACCACTTCCGTGAAAGGCACCGCCCCAAAATCGTCCGTGGCGTCGCAATCCCCGTGAAGAGCCGCCGCCCAGGAGGTGCCCAGGTCGCTCTTGCTTTCGGGGAGGCCCCCCGGGTAGCCGCCTCCGTTGCGCCCTCCGTCCTGCGGGTGGAAAGGTTTGGCCCCGAAGGGGTCCAGAATGTCGTCCTTTTGGATTTGGGCGCCGTTGTCCTTCCTTTCCGCAATGGTGACGTCCACGCTGATGTTCTCTTTCGAATCGCTGAGGAACTCGTTGCTGCTCTGCGAGTCCCGCCGTCCCACTTTCTTGGGTCTGCGGACACGCTCCGGGGTACGGAAAGCGGGTTTGGCGCTTTTCCTCCCGCCCGTGGGGGTCCCGTGGTGCCGCTTGCCGCCACCCGTCCCGGCGGCGTCCTGCTTGGTTTTCCTCTGGCGCGACGACAGCTTCTGGAGGCTGCGCTGTTTCAACCTCTGTTGCCGTGGCGAGTCCTCCGCGGACTGGAGAAAAATGTCCTCGGCGCTCCTGGACGTGGTCGGAAACGGGGCGCCCGGTTGGAAGGGGCCGAAGCCGAAGATGTCCACGTCCTCGGCGGGGGAAACGGGCGGCGTCTGGCCGCTGGCGTTCTTGGAGAGGTTCCGGCTGAACGGCGCTTTGGTGAAGACGTCAAAATCCTCGGCCAGCGCCTGTTGGGGGCTGACCTGCCGAAAAGGCGCTTTGGCGAAGATATCTCCCACGACGGGGTCTCCGGCAAGGAAGGGAACGGCACCGAAGATGTCCACCGGGGCGAGCGGGCACCGAGGGTCCACCGGAACTGGATCGGACCGGCCTTGATGCCTCCGCCCGGTGGCGACTTGCTTCTTGGAGAGATTTTTCGCCTTGTCCTCGGAGTCCAAGCTCCGCTTGTCGTCGTCCTCGCCGTCTTCTTCGGACTCCATCAAGAGCGGTCGTTGACCCAGATTCTCGGGCTCGGTGTCCTCGCCGGGTTCGCTGATCGGGCCTTCGTCCTCCTCGGGCTCGTCGGGCTCTTCTTCCTCTTCCTCCTCGCTGCTTTTCGGCGAAGGTGGGTCGGACTCGAAGTCGCTGTCCGAGTCGTCGCCCCTCCTGGTGGACTTGTGGTCTTTGGCCGTCGTCGGCGGCAACCGATCGTCCAGCGAAGCAGAGAGCGGAACGATGCCTTCGGGTGTCGTCGGATCGCTCGCCGTCATGTCGGAACCTGCCGGAACGACACAAAAGGTTCAAGTTGGGGAAGAGGAATCCTTTTCGTTTGGAAGCGTACGCCAGAGTGAAGGCTAGTTAGCGAGTAGATCTTCTCCGAGAGTCCATTCATCGCCTGCTGGCTAAAACCAGCGCTCGGCTTAAAACTATTTTAGGGCCAGCGGCTAACATTGCTAGCAAACTGTTTTTTAAATTTTTTTTTTTGGGGGGGGGGAGCGCTACGTCAAACTGAAACAAAATAATCCCCTTCAAAAAAAAAAAAAAGTCTGCATTGCTCCTAAAATGAAGGCAAACTATTCATGTTGCACTTGACTAAAGAGAAGAAAAGATTGTGATGTGTTTAATTTCCTGAAAAGAAAACGAGCTGTTGATGTTGCACTGACTGGAAAAAAAAAAGGTTTCAACATCTAAAACGAAAAACAAATTTTTCGAACATTCCCAGATGGTAACGGCATTTTTTTTTCCACGTCTCAGGACAGAAGCCGCAGAAATGTCTTACCTCCACCGGGTCCAAAAGTGAAAAAAGGCGTCATTTTGGTCACCGCTTGTTTGTTGGCGGGCTGACGCGAAAAGTACACGGCCCATTTCCGCAAGACACCGAAGACAGTTGGATTCCAGAATTGATATTTGCATTTTTTTTTTTGAAAGCAATTAGAATTTTTGCCATTTTTGTTGCACTCAAAGTTTGCGAGTTGGATTTGAGCAAAACTAAAGGACGAAAGGAACTTCCAATGCGTATTGTCTTTAGGTTGCGGTGAAATCTTGTTCTGCCTTGGTAGGGGGCCGCCTTTTTTTTTTCGATGGCCGCTTTTTTGGTTGGCTTACGCAAAACGAAAACTGCTCCCTTGAAAAAAAAAAAATTGCACAGCTACGTGGCTAATTTATGTCAGCAATTGTACAGTCTTGACAGAAATCTGATGGATTATTTTTTTTTCCCTTGAGATCAGGTTTCTTTTAAGTAAGATTACACACAAAATAAATCTCCATGTAAACCGGCACATACGGGAATGTATTTTTTTTTCATGGGGGCCATCCGGCAGACTGTGGTATCGCCTTCAACGCACGCGTTTCAAATCATTCGCCCTATTTGAAAATGATTTTGATCACCTATTTGTTTGGGGGATTCGGCGAAGATGACGAGGCTGATTTGTTCACCAAATGTTCATGTTTGGTTCAGCCCTGGAATAGTCTTCCATTTTTGCGCGCACTTGTTCATTGAAGGTAAAAAACGAGATGATGGATTTCACCAAGCAAACCTTTGCGAAGGGGTGGCACGTCAAACACGATTTTATTCCAAAATCACGTTAAGGCCTTGGTCAGCCTTGCCGTAGCTGCTTGGCGTTTTGCCATTTTTGAACGTCAGACAGGTGAGAAAAAAAAAAAAAACGCGAGCAGTTACTGCTTTGCTTTTTGGTTCGTTCATTAGCGAGATGAGCACAAAAATACACGATCGACGTTCACCTAACACTTCTGAGATGACTTCCGAATTAAACATAAAACCGACATGTTTGGGAGAGTCGAGTATTGGCAAAAGCCTTTTTTTCTTTCCTCAATTTGTGCTTTTTTTTTTGGTGACTTTTTACTGGCGGCAACGGAACGACAGTCAAGCTAGCACGTCAGGAACATCTCGCTTCTTGAAGTGTGTAGTGGTGGAACATTCAAAAAAAAGGAAATCTTTTTGATCGGTTGTTTGCTTTTTTCAATGTACTTTTATTTCTCAGTAACATTCTGTAAGAAATACAGCCGCACTCACAGGAAGATACAAGAGATTACTCCAAACAAACACACATACAAACACACACACACACACACACAAAGACAGGCCTCGTTTCTTCAACAGGCCACGCACCGGCTGCAAGTATGTTTTCGGAAAACATTTAGCTTTTTCTTTGTGAGCTTGTTTAAAAAAAAAACAAAAAAAAAACAGACAAAACAAAGACACACAAATGTAAACAGCAACAAGTGGGTTAACCTAGCAGGTTGTTTTCATGGCTCGTCCTTCTAGAATCTTCCACCAGTACACGTGAACAAGATGTTTCTGAGCGTGGCTGTTCGGACGCATGCGAGGAGAAGCAAATGATAGTCGAAAAATGTCAAAGGAAAAAAAAAAAAAAAACAACAACACACCTTTAGAAAAAGCAGGCGGTTGGATGAGCAAACGATAGGACCGACTTACCTTTTGGGGGAAAAATTGCGGTGGGGGGTTGAGGGGGGAGGGGGGGGGGCTATGGGTGTGATTAGCGATGGTGGCGACAGCACAGCGCTAACACTCATAAAGCCCTTTTTGGTTTGGATGGACCAAACTTGACAGCGACAACAAAAACATTTCAATCTTCCGCCAAGGTGATCATCAGCCAGTCGGGACCAAAAGGAATCAAAAGTAGCCCAAAACGTGTTTCCGAAACGACATTCAAAAAGCTCGCGCGATTCATCATTGGCTCGGTTTGGTCCACGGAATAAAATGGAGCATAAAAGGCACTTCATTGTCAGAAACACCAAATAAATGCGCAAAAAAAAATAAAAAATAAAAAAAAGTTGTCTATGGAGTAACAGAGCAGTTCACTTCTGGTTTTCCTTCAACTAAACTGTTCCATTAAAATTGAGATTTTTAGAAACGTGTCGAGGCCAATGACGTGCGCCTCCTAATTTATATCATCGACGGACATTAAAATTGGCATTTTTCTCCATTTTTTTTTTTTTGTCATGAGAATTTTCGGTCGTGATCGGTTTCAGAAATTCTCAGTCGAGTCTGCCTTTGACAACAGCACGCAAGACATGGCGACCCACCGAAGGCCATCTTTCATTGATCGACGAAGAATGGGGCTAAATTGTTGAGTCATCGCATCTGCAATCAAAGGAAAAACTAACGGGTGTACTTCATCAAAACAGTCAAAAAATAATAATAAATCACGTTAGCCAACCTTTCTATATTTTTTTGCGACTAAATTCCAATTCTGGGGAAATTTCCCCCAATTAAAAAAATGCACACTTGAAGGGTGATGGGAGAATCTGACGGAAGGTTCTGGAAAGTAGCGCCTCCATTTTGCTTGAATTGAGTGAAGGTCAACACAATTCTTGACAATCAATTCATCGATTTCAAGCTGAAATTCCAGGTCTTGGTGCTTTTGTACTTGGAGTAAAAAGTGACGTTCAGAACCTGCGCCAAAAGTTCCCGCACCTCTCAAACGTCTCAAACGAGAACAATTGGCTAGCTCCAAGTCATATTTTGACATTCCAGGAACTGGAGTTTTGCTAGCTCCTGTAAAACTCAAAATTCTTTCTATCAAACATGTTGAGGACCCTCCAAGTGTGGTCATCTCAAGGACCTCTGAACTCAAGTTGGCCAAAAAGCTGCCAAATGTACAATACAAAGCTCCTCCAAAAAAAGTAAGTTGGAGTCTTGCCTCGACACCGGAAGAAGTCAAACACAGCATTCCCCTTGCTGTCATAAAAACATAAAAAGAACAGACGCGCTAATGGCACAAAAACAACCGGCGCCAAAATAAACAAAATTCCAGAGGAAAAAAGAAAAAAAAATCCATTTTGTCAACGCCAGCCTGTTATAGTCCTCATTTTTTTTTTTCACCTTCTCGTACAAGATCAAACATTCCGACACTGATATTCAAGTGTCGACGGGGTTCCCTTGCATCACAGATCGACTCAAAAATTATTATCGGTTACAAGCGAAGGAAGAAATCGCACCTGTCATGTATATTTAAAAAAAAACAGAAACAAAAACATTCACATTGAGAGCAGGAAGAGGCACACGAGCTATTATTGCATCCGCCCACAACGTGGCCGGCCCGCGTGGAGGGAAGAGCTCAGGCCCTTTAGCGTCGGCCTTTCAAGTCACGCCTTTGCACAAGGATCTTATTCAAAAGTTCGTAAGCTAGCCGGAGGAGTTTGTCGTTAGCGAGCGGGGTGAGTATTTCACGTCAAGCTACGCTAAATCACGTACAAGTTCTGGAGGCCGTTAGCGATGAAGCGCGGCGGCTAAGTTAAGCGACATCGCGCGCGAGTAAATTTCGTCCCATCAAAAATGTTTCAAATGTGAGCGAGCGGCTTGCTGGGACTCTTTGCCCCGGGATATCGAACGGCTTAAGGTGCCAACGCAAACTGACTCAACGTTGTTCTCAAGCGATTTGAAAATTTGTATTTTGTTTGCGCTCAAGAAAACGCACGCATCTGCGAATTTTGACCGTGGCCATTTGCAACTCATGAACTGACGAACGTGTGCTTGAACAGAACAATTCACATTTCAAAGCAATATTTCACTTCATAGATAACAATTAGCGACAACAAACCTTGAGTGGAATGGATTCAATTTTCCAAAGTTTAGGTCCGATGAAACCCGCGAGCGATCTTGGACCGCTACCGATCACGGTTTTCAAAAATGCACGAATGATTGATTGACGACGGCCAGGCGAACCGAATGCCCTTCGCTCGAATGGTCCCGGCTACATTCTTTGGTGGATTTTTTTTTTTTTTTAACCGAGATCGCCTCTGTTGACCTATAAGGCTAATTACAATCAAAGCAGTCACCGTCAAAATTGTGAAAATAATATTCAAAGGAGTTGAGGAAATTGTGTCCAGGAAGTGCTTTTTCGACAACCCCCAGAGGAGGCGCAAGTGAGTCAACTTAGCCGGAAGACGAGCACAGTTGATCTAAAAGCAAAGACTCTGCCGCGGACGGTAGGAGAGGTGGTCGTGGGTCCTTGCGGCTGAAACTCCTTTAAGACTTGCCTGCGTTGGCCACAAACGGCACCGAGCCAAACAGGTCCTCGGCCGGGAGGGGCTTGCCGGAGGCGGGCGGGGGTTGGTCGGCCTCCACGCTGGCCGTTCTCTCCACAGGTTTGTCTGCGTGGAACAAGAAAACGTTGGCACCTGACCCATCAAGGAACGTACAGCTGCCGTGGGTGCATTTGTTCATCGGTATGCTTGCTGTTAGTGAGAAGTCATTCTTCATCATTCCATCCATAGTCAGGGTTGATGGAAAAGGACTTTTACTCAACACATTCGTCACACAATCAGCGGGGAGCAACACTTTGGTGAGTCCAATGTGCTCGATCATGCCATTTTCTTTGCTTTTTGTGTTCCATCTCGAGTTGACTTCTTTTGTGAGAGGCTAAGAAAAGAAAAGCGTCACTTGCTTGCTCGGAGCAGATCAAACTCGCGGTCGATCAGCTCCTCCTCGGTCAGCTTGGAGAAGTTGTCCTCGCCGAACGGGTTCCAGCGCGACATGTCCGGAGGATGGCTGGCGCTCTGGGAGGGAGGGCTGGCGCCGTCCGAGGCCAGCATGGGCGTTCTGCGCGGGGGAGGCCGGGTGGGCGACCAAAATCACTTACTGACTTTGAATTTTTGACGTGATTAACATTTTCAAGTCTGTCATATTATTTTAATGGTTATCTGCCTTAAGTATATTAACATGAGTCAACTTTTGTTGTTTTTAACCCGCTAATATTTGACATTGTTTTTGTCAACATTTTTATCCCAAAATGGTCTTATATATTTTTCTAATGTTTGTAAATGTTCCCGTACATGTTGTCTAACATGTTTATTGTAATATCTTTCTGAATTTGGTGTACTTGGTTCCAGATGATGCAACATTTTTCTAATCATGTATTTTAGTAATACCGGCAACATAGTTTTGGGCTTTCTTCTAAAATTTGTGTTTTTTTATTTTTTTGGTTCTAATATTTTCTCCAATATCATCCTATTCATAGTATTTGTATATTTTTGTCCAATAGTTTATTAATAGTTTTCAATGTTATTTTATTTTTGTCCAATATTTATGTATTTTTCCCACTATTTTTGTAAAACATACCTCTTAACTTTATACTCATATATTTTTAATATTTTCTATCTCAATATTGTGTGGTATTTGCCTGTTTTTCTAATATTTATGTAATATGTACTTTTGTGTTTTTTCTAAAATTTATATAATTTTCTTCTAACATTTCTGTATTATTTTTCTAATATTTTCATAATATCAATTACATGTTTTTTGACGATTTACATTTTCTAAAATTTGTACATTTTCTGTTTTATATGAGTTTACTTTTCTTGAAAAGCCTTTCTTGTTTCTAATATTTTATGTTGCATATTAATTGCTGGAGCATGTTGTTGATAATATTTTTATCGGCACTTTGCTTTGGCTGTCGTAGCTAAGATTAGGACATTCTTTTTCCACGTCGGCGACAATAATTCCTAGTTTTGTGACGGCATTACCTGGGATTGGAGTAGGACGAATCCGCAGGCGAAGGCGTCCCGGCGGCGGGCGTGGTGGCGTTGTAGGAGCCCGGATGCGCCTGGAACTCCAGCGGCGAGGACATGTAGGTGGGGAGATGATGATGATGATGATGTTGTTGAACGAAAGCCTGTTGGTACTGCTGCAGCTGGCGGGGGGCGGGATGTCAAAGAGAAAGAAAGAAAGAGTAGGGCGGGGGAAGAAAAAGGGGCGGTGGAAATGATTTGGTGGCACACGGCGATGAGCGACAAGATGGCGGGATGCTGTTAGAGAGCAGTTCTGGATTTGGGAAGCTGGAGGTGCAGGGGAGGGAAGTGGCGAGGGGGGGCCAAAGTCAAACAAAATCAGCTTCACCATTTTTTTTCTCTTTTTTTTTTTTTTTAATTTGTTCCCATTTTTTTCCATTGTATTTTGTTATTTTAATAGTAGGCCACTTTTTGTCCGATATATATTTTTGTGTTTTACACTTTTCTATTTTATCTCAAACATTGAAACATTTGGCATGATATTTTAGTGTCTATCTTTTAATGTGTATTTTTCTTGTATTCATTTTTCTTTTTTCCTTTGTTTTCCCCCCAAAGATTTGTTTGTCTTAATTTCTTGTCTACTTTTCTGTATTATATTGTCATGTTTCACTGAATATTATTTTGACTACAATCGTCCTATTTGACCCAAATATTTACACGTGGTACGGACGCAGAAGAACGTCACGTAGCTGGTGTTTTGGGGGTTAAAGGCTGCGTCTTGCGCAAACTTGGCGGCACACGGAGGGAGGCAAAGCCACCCTGGCTTTTCAGCCTCTGTTCAATCCCTTCGCCGCCTCGTCGCAGCAGATTGCCGTCCGCCCCAAACAGATGGCGGACGCCGGCGGCAAAGGCGGCTAAAAATTGCCGCCAGTCGACAGTTAAGTTTGAGCGTCTGCTGGCGCCGTGCAGTCGACTGTTTGCACTTGCGGGTGTGGGAGGACGAAGACGGACGGCGTCGCGTGTCTCTTTGCAACTTGGTCGTGTCCTCCACTCTTGTTGGGTATCTTTCTGACCTCAATAAAATGTTATATTTTGATCACAGTTATTGTTGGTTTCATCAGTCTTTTTCGTTGAACATTGATTTTTTTTCCTCTCATTGTGTTATTGACTTTTTTTTAAAGAATATTTGGGGTAATGTTTTGTATATTGTTCAAGCTATATTTTGTAATTTGTTTAATGTTATATTTATATTTTGTGTGTGTTTCTTTTGTAAAATGTGTCAGATTTCCTGATATTTGCCATAAGGAAAATATCATAAATATCAAGCGTCATAAGATGATTGTGGGTTGCTGGGTCGCGTGTAGAAGCCAAAAGGCGAATACACGTTACAGTCACGTGTCTGATGCGGCAATTTTTCATAAGCTACGCGTGAAAGGGGCTGCTGCGTGTTTATCCGGGCGGAAACTCACCATGGCGGCGTACTGGGCCTGAGCGGCGTGAGCGCCTCTCTGCTGATGATACATGGGCTGCTGCTGCTGCATCATCATTTGCTGCTGTTGCTGCAGTAAAGCCTGCTGCTGTATTGACTGCTGCAGAGCCTGTTGGTACTTCATTCAAAAATCCAAACAGTAAATTAATTGAAATGACGGAGACAGGGTCCATGACTCCACGTCGAGCGTTACCTGGAGGTATTGGAGCTGCTGCGCGTTGATGTGTTGCTGCTGTAGAGCTTGTTGTTGTTGTTGTTGTTGTTGGTGGTGGAGCTGCTGAAGCCGCAGGGCACCCGGCTGCAGCTGCTGTAGCACTCGGTGCTGCTGACTGCCAGGCTGCGGCTGCACGCAAGGCTGTCCTGAACCGGGAGTGGGAGCTGGCAACACAAATTACTCGGTGGCAGTCCTTAAACCATATATTCTTGAACATTGGTTAGTTTGGGGTTTTTTTTTGCCTGACATTCTTGTTTGTTTTCAAATGTTTTGCTCATTTTTAATACCTTGTATTTCAATATAAACTTTATACATTTTTGTCAACTACCGTTTCTTTTCCAAATAGTTGTACATTTTTTATTTGATATCCTGCATTAGGGCTATTTTAAAAATTTTGTTATGACGCAGTATTGACTCTTGATTTTTTTGGGCCAGATATTCTTATGGATTTTTTTTTTCAAATATTTCCAAAATCCATTTTTTCGAAACTATGTCTGTATTTTACACATATTTATTGCCTTCAACATTTTTTTTCAGTTCTGGATTTGGGAAGCTGGAGGTGCAGGGGAGGGAAGTGGCGAGGGGGGGCCAAAGTCAAACAAAATCAGCTTCACCATTTTTTTTCTCTTTTTTTTTTTTTTTAATTTGTTCCCATTTTTTTCCATTGTATTTTGTTATTTTAATAGTAGGCCACTTTTTGTCCGATATATATTTTTGTGTTTTACACTTTTCTATTTTATCTCAAACATTGAAACATTTGGCATGATATTTTAGTGTCTATCTTTTAATGTGTATTTTTCTTGTATTCATTTTTCTTTTTTCCTTTGTTTTCCCCCCAAAGATTTGTTTGTCTTAATTTCTTGTCTACTTTTCTGTATTATATTGTCATGTTTCACTGAATATTATTTTGACTACAATCGTCCTATTTGACCCAAATATTTACACGTGGTACGGACGCAGAAGAACGTCACGTAGCTGGTGTTTTGGGGGTTAAAGGCTGCGTCTTGCGCAAACTTGGCGGCACACGGAGGGAGGCAAAGCCACCCTGGCTTTTCAGCCTCTGTTCAATCCCTTCGCCGCCTCGTCGCAGCAGATTGCCGTCCGCCCCAAACAGATGGCGGACGCCGGCGGCAAAGGCGGCTAAAAATTGCCGCCAGTCGACAGTTAAGTTTGAGCGTCTGCTGGCGTCGTGCAGTCAGTCGACTGTTTGCACTTGCGGGTGTGGGAGGACGAAGACGGACGGCGTCGCGTGTCTCTTTGCAACTTGGTCGCTGTTTGCACTTGCGGGTGTGGGAGGACGAAGACGGCGTCGCGTGTCTCTTTGCAACTTGGTCATGTCCTCCACTCTTGTTGGGTATCTTTCTGACCTCAATAAAATGTTATATTTTGATCACAGTTATTGTTGGTTTCTTGTATTTTTCCAAATACTCTTCCGACGCTCCCCGCCAAAATAGTTTTATTTTACACTGAAAAACTACCTACATTTTTTCCTGGTGTCTCAGTATTTTTGACGAATACTTTTCATTCATTTGTCATGGACTAGGATTCATTTTATTCTTCTTTTTTAAAAAATAATTTTGTATATTTCATCAGTCTTTTTCGTTGAACATTGATTTTTTTTCCTCTCATTGTGTTATTGACTTTTTTTTAAAGAATATTTGGGGTAATGTTTTGTATATTGTTCAAGCTATATTTTGTAATTTGTTTAATGTTATATTTATATTTTGTGTGTGTTTCTTTTGTAAAATGTGTCAGATTTCCTGATATTTGCCATAAGGAAAATATCATAAATATCAAGCGTCATAAGATGATTGTGGGTTGCTGGGTCGCGTGTAGAAGCCAAAAGGCGAATACACGTTACAGTCACGTGTCTGATGCGGCAATTTTTCATAAGCTACGCGTGAAAGGGGCTGCTGCGTGTTTATCCGGGCGGAAACTCACCATGGCGGCGTACTGGGCCTGAGCGGCGTGAGCGCCTCTCTGCTGATGATACATGGGCTGCTGCTGCTGCATCATCATTTGCTGCTGTTGCTGCAGTAAAGCCTGCTGCTGTATTGACTGCTGCAGAGCCTGTTGGTACTTCATTCAAAAATCCAAACGGTAAATTAATTGAAATGACGGAGACAGGGTCCATGACTCCACGTCGAGCGTTACCTGGAGGTATTGGAGCTGCTGCGCGTTGATGTGTTGCTGCTGTAGAGCTTGTTGTTGTTGTTGTTGTTGTTGGTGGTGGAGCTGCTGAAGCCGCAGGTCACCCGGCTGCAGCTGCTGTAGCACTCGGTGCTGCTGACTGCCAGGCTGCGGCTGCACGCAAGGCTGTCCTGAACCGGGAGTGGGAGCTGGCAACACAAATTACTCGGTGGCAGTCCTTAAACCATATATTCTTGAACATTGGTTAGTTTGGGGTTTTTTTTTGCCTGACATTCTTGTTTGTTTTCAAATGTTTTGCTCATTTTTAATACCTTGTATTTCAATATAAACTTTATACATTTTTGTCAACTACCGTTTCTTTTCCAAATAGTTGTACATTTTTTATTTGATATCCTGCATTAGGGCTATTTTAAAAATTTTGTTATGACGCAGTATTGACTCTTGATTTTTTTGGGCCAGATATTCTTATGGATTTTTTTTTCAAATATTTCCAAAATCCATTTTTTGAAAATATGTCTGTATTTTACACACATTTACTGCCTTCTACATTTTTTTCAAGGATGGAAACAACGTAACGAGTCTGCCTTCTCTTCTTGCAGTCTTTTGCTTGTTTTTGACGCACCTTTCTGACCGTTGCTGACAGGCGCAGAAGGCCCCGCGCTCATCTTGCCGGGCGTGACGGTGGCCAGCGGCAGGACGTTACTGTTGGCCGCCTTGGGCCTCTGTCGGGGGGCGATGGAGGTCTCTGTCGGGCCCACCGAGTCTCGTATTCTGAATATGGAAAGAACATCATCGGTAAGCTGCGATTTGAAATGACTTCATCAGGCTGTCGACAGGTTTAAGGAAGCCCGAGGTAAGACTTTTTAAGACCGGTCGCATTTCACAATGGGCTACATTTTTCAGGTTTTTTTTTCACGCAAGTATAAACACTGGTTTTATTTTGTGTATTTTTCCATCTCATATTTTTCCTCCAAATTAATTTGTATGTTAGTGAGACGTCTTTTCATTTTTTGTATCAAATATTTTTTCCCATTACAAGGGTGTTTTTTTTTTCAAAATATATTCATAGTTAAAATGTGTTTTCGAATATTTTGTGCAGTATATATTTCCAAATTTGCAACTAAAATGTGTTTTTTTTTAACTACTGGGTAATATTTTGTTTTACTAGTTAAGTGTTTCTGATGTTGGAGGTTTTTGTACCCCCAATTTTCATCCAACATTTTAATATATTTAGAAGTATATTGTGTCTAATATTTATCTATCTGTCCCTAAATTTTTTTTCTTCTTCTGTTTGTATATATATTTTTTTTTTATTCGATACTTTTGCCCCCAAAAGTAGCAGTACCTTGCTTTTGTCATACTCTTCTTGGCGGCCACTTCGCTGGCCGTGAGAGGCTCCGGTAAGGACGTGGGGATGGGAGAATTCTGTCAAGACAATCATTCCGTCACTATGCAGTCATTGGCAAGAAAATAAAAAGTCTGCGCTGTACTTACAAAGATATTTGGCACAGGACAGTCCCTTCTTGCAAATTTAAAGGCAAAGTAGGACACTTGGTATATGTCGGGTCTCTTCTCCTGGTCTGGTTCGAGCATATATCCTGTAGGGAAGCAGGACCGGTCAAGAACTGTGGGATGCGCTTCTCCTTTTGGCCACTGGCTGGAGCCATTGCTCCACTACAATAAGGGCAAGGGAGAAGAGCGGAAAACCAGCAGGCAGGCAGACAGTAGTCCTGACTGGTTTAAACAGGCTCAACTTGTGTACAGATGGCTCTGTGCTAGAACACTCGCTCGCACACACACACAAAAAATAAAAAGAAGGCTGAGTGTGCAGATTAGCTCATGAAAAACCGCGTCGGCCCACATTCAGTCAATGGCCAAACATTTGCGAGCGAATATAAACGGACTCACGGATTAAGCAGTGCAACTTGAGGGAGAACTTGGAGTTGTCGGGAACGATAAAGGTTCCGTCGCATATGGCAACTTGACTCTCGCCGAATGGAAGAGAGAAGAAACACAGCTTGTACAACAAGCATCCCAGCGCCTGAGGGAACAAACGTTGGGCGGTTACGAACGCTGCCTCTGGCACAGAACGGAGACACACACAAAAAAAACAAACAAACAGAGATGAGAGACACTTGGGCCGGACACCTGGAACTTGACACTGTCCCTAAAATACCTGCTTCGGTTTTTCGTTTTTGATTGACATGCTGGCTAAATTTCATGTTACATCATGGAATGGTTAATGCCTTACGGATGCCTAAAAATGATCAAAACTAATCCAAAAAGGTTCCCTTCAAACAAAAACGGCCGACGTCCTGTCTTTTCAGGGATGGCCTCTTGAGACGTTTTTGCGGGACGCGCCACATCGCATTTTACCAGGTGAAACAAATATCAGGAGCTGAACTTTCCCAAAAATCTTTCGGAGGATTTTGTCTTTGAGGGATGCTTAGAAAATGTCAAAATGATCCTAAACGGCAGCTTTCAGACAAAAATGCCAGGCATTTTTGTCCTTTCGGTTACAGCTTCTTGAGGCTTTCTTGTGCGTTCACTCTTGATTGACATGCTTACCAAATGTCGTGTGGCTACATGCAAATGTCCTCATCAGGGGCTGAAAGTTCAAAAACTCTCGAGGGCCGCCTTTGCCTAGGAATGATGCCAAAATGGCTGCTTCAAAATAAAAAGGCAGACCTCCTTCCCCTTTTCAGGCGTAGCTTGAGATGGTTTTTGTGGGTCTACTCATCACAAATGCGCTGATCAAATTTCAGGTTGCTAGATGAAACCGGCTTTGGGGGGGCTGATTTTTTAAAAATAAGTCTGTCTTTGAAGAACCCCCTAAAAAATCCCCCCCCAAACGGCAGAGTTTCTGCATTTTTTTTCTGGCGTGGCTTCCGGAGACTTTTTTTGAGGGTCTCTTCATGACAGACATGCCGAACAAATTCCATGTTGCTAAAGGCAAGTAAGTGGCTTCAAGGGCCGAATTTTCAAATTCAGGCACAACTGAAGCCACTCGGGCTGTTTGTTACTGAGTTAAGGACTCAGGCGGCGAGTATTCCGCCCCGAGCAACGTGGCCGTCCAAACAAACAAATGCAGGCTGCTTATGAATGATGCAATGAAATGTGCCGACACTGCAGTTTAGGAGATAAACCACTTTGGAATCAGTCAGCTGCCTTGAGGACTTCTGCCTTGGAGCACTCATCTTGTAGCTAATAATCAGGCGTGTGCGTAGAGACACGCTCCAAACATAGAACAGGAAGGCAGTGTGCTGGCGGGGGTGGCGGCTAACAGGAAGCACGGAGGTGGTGGGGTTTTTTTTGCCCAACAGTTTTCGTTTCACATTGTGAAGTTTGTTTACGTGCTCAATTCATTATTTGAGTTGGCCCCTACCCCAGCTAACTTTGAGTGAGAGGCAGTATAAACTCTGGACTGGTCCCCCCGGCCATTTTCCAGGGCATGACGACAAAAACGGGTTCACACTTAGGTCCACATTTTTGTAAAAGAACAAAATATTCTGAACATTGATATTTTCCATGGATATGGTTGGCCTCATAGCATAACTTCTAGTGATTAAACATCCTGCCACAGTATCGGAAAAAAAATGTGCTCGCGAAACATTCCGAAAATGTTCAAAAATGACAAAGGCAACTCTGCTATGATTCGGCGAACTTGGTAGAAAATGACAAAACAAACAATTCACGCCCAGACACTTAAAATGGACAAACACCCGACACGAGCTCCTGACATCACTTGTTTGGCCACGCCCCCTTTTGTTTTATTTAAAATCAATAAATAGATAAATACACTGCTACTTTTCCTTAATACACTGTCATTTAAAAAAAACTAATGTTTTTGAGAGGGAAGAACAACTTAAAGGCATTTTATTTAATTCCGATCGGGAAAACTGATTGGACATGGGAAGTAAATGGAACCGCGAGCTTGGCGACGGAACAAATTCAACTGCTAAGTCAAGGCGCCGCCGCATTATCGCGGTGACAGACGAAGTTGAAGCCGCGCTCGTGACGCTGGCTGCGGTCCAAACTCTGCTCTCACCTTCAAATCAAAGTCCTCACCTGGGACTCGTGATCTCAAAATGGAGGCCTGACAATGTTGTTGCAAGAGATTCTGCGCAATTTCTTTTTTTTTTTTTTTTTAAAGAGGGGAGGCGGGGGGAAGCAAAGGTAAACAAGAGTTGGGCGAGGCCGCAAGGAGGAAGAGGAGGAACCTGTCGGGGCAGAGTAATGGCAAGAGGCACACATGCGGGACAAACCAGCCTTGCAACACCACCACCACACACACAAACTTACCCATATATCAGCCTTAGTGGTGATGGCCTTCCCCGCGTACAAGTTAATCATCTCCGGCGCCCGGTACGACAGTGTCGTGTACCTGTGGCGGTTAAAAGGAAGAGGCGCTGAGTGACACGAAGACATTTTAATGGACAAAGCAACTTATTAATTATTGGACAGAAATGTGACTTTCAAACATACCCACCCTGGATGTAAATACTGAAACGGGCGTTTTGGTGTTAGCAAATAATTAGCAAAGTAGGCTCGACGGTTATCGGAGAGTGGTCGGAACATGCTAGACAGTAACAAGAATGGGTTGGACAGTGACGAGAATGTGTCAGACAGTTACTGAAACAGGCTTGTCAGTCTTCGACATAATTTGTCCCCCCCCCACCCCCAAAAAAACAAAAAACAAAAAAAAAAAACCCCACACATAATTCCGAAGTGTTTGTTTGTGACAGACTTCAATTACATCTTTGAAGTGATTTTTCAACGGGACGCGAAACAGAACGTGTCAGATAAATATCACCCTGCCCGCCTGCCGCGGCTTTCTAAGATTTATTGAGCTCACTTTTTTATCTCGTCCTCCACAGCGGTCACGCCATCTTTGTGCGGCTGCAGAACTTTGTGGGTGGCGCTGCCAAAGTCACACAGCACGTAGCTGCCCTGGTCATTCAGCAAGATGTTCTCCACCTGCCGAGGAGAACCAGTGTTGATTCATCACGAGTATTTATAGAGAGCGAGAAGATGACAAGGGTGTAGCTAATAAACAGGTGACAAATCATCATCAGTAGGAGGCGTTGGTATGCAAAGTTCCTCTGGGAACAGCCCTAAAATGGACACGTGCTGCATCTTTTGGGACGTGGCCCCTTGAGAGTTTTTCGGTGGGTCTAAGAGTAACGGGAGTTGAGGCCTGAATTTTCCCTTTTTTTTTTCCATCTGCCAAGTATATTTGGTAAAAATTCTGAAGCAATCAGATGAAATCTGTAGGACAAGTTGGCATTCCTACCACCAAGCTTCCACAGTCATCTGGCTCGTAGCCATTTTCAAAACTACGCTGAAAACCGAGGTCAACTGAAGGCTTCAAAGTTAGGCCACTTAGTCACCGAGGAACATTTGTGAGAGGAGAACGAGGAGCATGTGGGAGTTCTGGATGGGGGTTTCTGCAGCGGAGGAAGGAAATAAGAGCGTGACCTGGCAAAGGAAGCGGGAAGGGGGAGCAGAGGTGCAAGATGAAGCGGATGTGCTGGAAGAATCCGGAAAGCTCTCGTGCTGATCAAGCACATTTTTTAATTCAATTCATCTTTGTTTGGGGACAACGCACAAGCTACACTCTGCTGTTTTAATTGACGTTTCGGCATCTGGCTGAGGGAGTAGGTAACACTCGGTTGCTAACCAAAACAGCAGCATCTAGTCGAACTGTAACCATTCATTTCTGGTGGCGGAAAATAGAAACGTGCGTTTTTCCCGGATTGTTTGTAAACAGTCAACTAGTGTCCATTCTTCAAATAGTCGCTGAGCCCCAATTGGTCTCTGCGTGCGTCACGCACTTATGATGAAACACCTTTCTCACATACCTATGAAATAAATGCTTCCTCATACACTGACACTGGATTACAGTCCAAACGGACGGACGGGTTCCAGCGACTATTCGCTGCACTTTCAACATCACGAACGAGATGCCACACGACCGGCGGGACCTCTGTGGAATGTTGTCAGGCGCCGTAGTCAGCGTAGCAAACATTAAAAAAAAAACAAAAAAGCCAAGCTATGTTGCTCAGCTAAACGCTAATACTGTGGATGCTGTACATTCGTCAGAAAATGGACGGAAGAGGAGCAAACGACACCACGGCTCATTCACGCGCGGCTACGGCGAGTGATATTTTTCAAGATGGCGTCTTACCTTGAGGTCCCGGTGGATGACGGGCGTCTTGCACTGGTGCAGCCGCGCCACCGCCTCGCACGTGTCGCAGAAGATGTGCAGCACCTCGGCCTCGGTGAAGCCCACGTTCAGACGCTGGTTCATCTGCTTCACCACCTGGCCCGCTAAAACGCAACAGCAACAACCCAGTTGAGCAGTCACGGTTCCCACTGAGGCGCCATTTTGTGAACAGGAAGTACCTTTGCAGTACTCCATGAGGATGAGGACCTCCCACACGCTGTCTGATACGGTGTTGACAGCAGAGTCCAGGTAGCCCACAATGTTTTTGTGGCCCGACAGCTCCTTCTGCGCGGCGCATGAAAGATAATAAAAGTTTTCGGGAGCACTTCTTTTGCACAAAATGGCTGCCTGTCTTGTGAGAAGGTATCTCAGTAAGCGTCAAAAGGATTATTGCTAATTTCACCTGTGCGCCTATAAACTAAATCCAAATTGTACCCAAATAAATGTTTTTTTAAAACTGTTCTAAAAGGATGATAATGCAAAATGAAGTTTTATGAGTTTAACACAACTGAACTCTATTGGATGAAAAAATATTTAAGCCACTCTCACATCATGTCCAGTTTGAACATTTCATTTCATGTATCACACGAACAATCACCGGTGGAGCAGATCAGTGCACAAGGCGCATGCAGCAGGCGCAAAAAAACCTCTAACCATGGGCCTGCGCCGCGCTTTCTTAGTGCTTCACAAGTTCATACGAAGAACGCGTTTGGTTTTCCAGGTCCAGAAAAGCGCCAACGAAGTCTGACGCATTATAATTATTATGATTACTGATCCGTGACAACATTTCTCCACAAGCTAGCCAGCCTGATCAAATGTGAAATTCAGTGGAAATCTCTGTGCGGTTCTTTGAACGGGGAGATGACATCATCCTTTGGCTTTTTTTTTTTCTTCATCATCACACTTAAGACTTTGAACGGAGCCGAAACTGCATGCGTGCATCGCGCCACGTGGCTCTCACCATGATGGTAATCTCCCGCTTGTGGACGTTGAGGTCGGGCACGTTGTTGACGTACATGCGCTTGAGGGCGCAGCGGATGCCGCTGTGCGTACGGGCCAGGAAAACCACCGAGAAGCCTCCTGAAAACACAAACAAAACGTTTTTTGACATACGGGCACCGCTTGGACGACTTTACACAGCCCCCGCTTACAGTTTGCGCTGCTTATCAGAAGCTACCGCACCGAAACGCAGACCTCGAGGCTAAATCGGGTCACTTCCAACCTTGCTACGCAGTAGGCTAACTATGCTGGCGGTTCAAATTAGGACGAGTTTATCGAGATTGCAAAGGAGTCAACAATGGCGAGTTTGTTGTGCAACAAGTGAGCTCGGGTCAGCTCGAGGGAGGACGGGGGGTGATGGGGGTTCGAGCGACGCTGGCTGTCACAACAGCGGGAGTTGCCGCTGCTCGGCTTTCTCCGCGTCGGCCGACCGAACGACAAAACACGCAAAACCGCCGATAAACAGCGCGAGGCGAAGGCGTCACGTAGCGTTTTTACGAGCGAGAGTAACCCGTGAGTCATCCAAGGTGTCGTAAAGATCCGACTGGAGGGAAGGGGCGGATGGAATCCAGATGCTTCAGGCCAACGCGAGAAGCGGTTTGTTACCAAAGGGGGCTTGTTTACTCGCGGCGTAAAGAAGCAGCTCGGCTCCCACTCGACTTGAGTATGCACATGATCAGGAGAGTCAATATTGGGACACGTGTTCATTGCTTGTCAGCAAATATCTGACGGCGGGTCATCAAAATGATGTTCTGAACCATTCGCAGGTGTCTCAATAGCCCTCGAGGGGGCGATGCTGTCTCACGTGAGCGATTTTAATTGTAAAATTTGCTGAGTGGAATGCTTGAAAGATTTTGCATTGGCCATATTCGCAATGTCAAAATATTGTGCAAAATTAGGTTGATGGTTTCTTTTTTTTTTCTTCAGACAATGGTCTTGTTTGGAGAGAAAAACCGTTACCGAGCTGACAGTTTGGGCTGTCACTTCAGCCTTGGTCGGATCGGGCCACTACTTCCTTGTGACACGTTTTCAAAACAGCTGACCGGGTCGGGAAACCTTCAAAATGAGGCTCCCCGACCCGGTCAAGGCTGCGCTCCAACACCTTGCCGCCGTCAATGCGTCACAAAAAAAAGAAAAACATCTTAAACCTAATCCAACCGATAAGCAGGCAGGATGAACGTCATAGCGCTGATATTCTGTGCAGCCTTCGTCTTGAACAAAAAGTCAGTGAGCAGTCACGGTAACTCAAGTTGAGCTCCGCTCCCACATACCGGTGTGGCTAACGCTCTTGGGTTTGAGCCCAACTTGCGATGTAAACAAATAGTTTTCAGCTCAAACGGCCGTGTAAAATGTCCATTAGGGTCCATTTGACTCCAATGAATGTTGGAGGATGTTTGGAGAGAGAGAGAGAGAGAGAGAGAGAGAGAGAGAGAGAGAGAGAGAGAAGCTTGAGCTGCGTCCACTTTTTAAAATCTTTGGTATCGAGGATCACATGAGGGAAAAAAAAAAAAAACAGCGGCGTCTCAGAATGAAATCCAAGCGGATGGTATCACTCTGACTGGATCGCAGAGTTTGCCGGTCTCAAGAAAAGACCCGGGCGACTCCTCGCTTCGAGTTCGTCCGAGGCCACCTGCTGCGGGATCAGGTTCTCACTAAAATCGCCGCTCCAAGCACGTGGTGGCTGGAGGGAAACCGGGGGGGGCAGGGGCACCTCACACATACCAACGTTTTAGACAAAAGGAGGGTCCCCCTCGGAACCCCGGCGGAGCCCTCGACTCGCTGGACGAGACTTCCAATTGAACCGGCCGGCAATGGTGACGTCAACGCTGACCCGGGCAGCGCAGAGGCCGCCGCTGCTGCACGTTGACGCCAAGGACAAGAAACAAAGAACGGATTGATGGCGCGTCATGTCTAGAAGCCCTCATCTTGGTTATTTGATGAGCTAACGTCAGCCGTTTGTCCAACAAGCAACTGACAAATACCCAGCGGCCAATCGGGACGGTTGGCAAACGAGGACACACACACACACACACACAAAAAAAAAAATGGGGGAGGAAGAAAAAAAGGAATGGATTTCCAACCTCGGGGGACCGTTTGGCCGGCAGCCGCTTGCCACTAAATAGCGCCTGTCGTCGTTTGAAAAGTCACATTTCCCAAATCCTCGAGAGATTTGTCATGATAGGGGCTAATCTGCGACCCAAAAGTGGCCCGACACAAATTGCAAAAGTACAAAAGTTTGCGGTGAGAGTAGAGCTCAAGCATTTGAATTGGAACAAGGTGTGAGGCGGGGATTTTCACCAAAAAATAAAAAATAAAATTGGGGGGGGGGGGGGGGGGGCCTTTTGGGGGGGGCGGTCATGCTCCAGTCAAAAGATTTACCTCTTGAATATTCAATCCCAGGTACGTCTTTTTCACGTCAAGAAGTGGCGGAATTGAAAATGGCCGGCAATGAATGAGCAGCCAAGGGCTGCGGTGGCTTCTAATGCATGAAAAATGCCCAAAGTCAGGCTCGTTTGTTGTTGTTTTTTTTAAAAAAACAGGACAAAGATGATGTCACACCCCTTTGAGAGTCCATTCCAATTCAAGAAATTGTCAGTCGTCTCGGAGCGGTCGAGCAAGCGGGTGGTCTGCAAACGTGACCCACTTCAGGCTGCCTTCAAGCCTTGACAAGTCTCACCACAGTGACAGTCCGGATGCGGCAGCGGCAAAAAGTTCCGGACGTCTAAAAATAGCCATTAGGGGTGCGTGTGTGTGTGTGTGTGTGTGTGACTGGGGTGGGTGAGTGGGGTACTCGGGGGAATTGCTTTTCCACAGGCAGACGACACATTTCGCATTTTGCAGGGGGGGACGCATCGTAGCGGCGGAACTCAAAGCGGATGTTTTACCGTAATCCAGGGGGGTCCAAACTCGGTCAAAAAAAAAAAAAAAAAAGGGCCATAACAGGCGGGAAGTCACGACGGCAACTTATAAAGCGACGCCGTCCGATAACGTCACTGGTTGGCGACACAGCGGAATGAAGGACCCCTATCACCGAACATTTGTTCCATCCCGACGACTGTTCATAAGTTTCATGAAAAAACTTACGAAGGGGAACACTGTACGGTTAGCTTTAGTTAGCATAGCACACCTCGAGTTAACATCCATCGTTAGCGTCGGCATTTGGCTCGGCTCCCTCTTGAGATGGGCTCATCGGGATTGGCGTGGACTCAATGAGCGAGCACAAAAGACGGCGCTGACGCCCGTCATGGGAACACAGACTACGCTCCCCCCCCCCTATCACGTTGGCATTCTATGAGTCGACAAAAGAGCCACAATGCGAGCATTCATCAGCCATACAGTATGCTAATCATGGCCATTCGCAAGGTTTCGACAGCGCGCAGGGACAGACGAGACGGCCAAACCGGTTTACTCAGAGCAACATCGGCATGTACGCGCACACGCGGACCACTTCAGCGGCTAACGCTAACTTTCACCAGGATTGCACTTTGTTTTGTTCAACTCTTTTTTGTTTTTTTTTTGCAACATGCTAAGTAAGCAGACCGTTTTGTTTTTATGATTACTAACTTTTTTTCAAGTCAAGTCCAATTTTATTGTCAATTTTTTTTACACACTTCACCCCCTCTCCATAAATCTCCATTTTGGCTCTTAAAATGTCTATTTTTGCCTTGTCACTTTTATTTTGCACCTTTTAAATTACTACGTTTGAATTGTTCACAACTACCAATTATTTGTTCCATGACATCACAACAATTTTATTGTTGTCAAATTTCACTCCCCCAAAAATGACATTTTTCCACAGAAAAACTTCACAAGATCTAAAAAAATAAATAAATAAATAAAACTTTTATCCATTAAATGTTCAATTTTCATTCACATTTTAACCTCATCAAGGTCTATATAGTTGGACTATTGTAACGACTCCCGTCTGAAGTACCATCAAAACGGCAGCCTTGACTTGTCCTTCCTAAAAGAACAACGTTATCTCTGTGGATAGAAATCAAAACATGGACACTTTTGCAAACTCATTTCCTTGCCAATCCCCTCGCGAGGCAGGCAACCAAAAACGCGTCGCAGGCTCATGGCTACTTGTGGCGACCAGTCGATGTTTGCCAGCGAACGTAAATGGAGCAGACTGCGACGTGAACAACGGGCGATGAGTCAAAAGGTCAGCGCCGAAGGGGAATCTTGTGATTTTCATTCAACAGCCAAATGGCTGAAAACATCACATGATCTCTTTTGCTACCTCGAGTGCGCAACGAGCACACGAGAGAGGAAGCTATGCTGTGGATACGGTGGGGACGTATCCCAGGAGGAAAAAATTGCATTTCCCATATCTAAACTATTTTCATGCACAAATAACAACTCCCCTTTTCATAAATGTGATGTCACAATTGCTTGCCCCTCAGTAGGGTAAGGTGGCTTTCGCGTTAAAGCAGCAGTGACTATCATCCCCCACCAATCGACGGTAACCGAGGTTCTTGACTGACATGAGATGGTGGAGGGGTCTAAGATGCTAAGCTAACACGTGCAGATCACTACGTCTTGAAAAACAAAGGTTGTGTGATCAATCAAGCGAATGTCAAATACCAACACGGTAACTACGGCCGCTAATGCTAACACAACAACCCAATACCAAGGTTGGGTTGCGACGGCGATGGCCAATCGTTCTTGTAAGCTGCATTGATTACAATCTGTTAACAAATGGAGCATTTATTTCCGAGATTAGCGCTTTCTTGGCTCAATTAGCAACAAAAAGCCCAAAAAGGCCGAACGTCATGAAAAGGAGAAGCTGCGGCCGACAGGCTGCCACTTCCTCCTGCCAGGCAACGCGTCACATGATGGAAGCGTCGCATGACTTTTCTTCTTTTTTTGAATCTTGATGTCATTGCACCACAACTTTTCACAATCGCTTCCCGTTGGGGCCCGAAAAAAACCCAACGGAAATCTTGACATTTTCCATGGCGGCACTGTTGCTAGCGAGATTTACCACCAAGCCTACGCAATGCAAGCGGGGCAGACGCACGTGTCGCGGCCAACCAAAAACTACGGCGGGGCCGGTGGTCAAACCTGTCAGGTCACATGACCACACGGCACGACAGTTTAGTCCAGGAAGTGAGCAAAAACAGGTTTACCGTGTGACCCAACCGCATGTTTACAAGGTTACGTGGGGACACGCCATTCAGGCAAGTGACAAAAACTTGCTTCCAAGGCTAGCATGCTAAACCAACACGCTGATTAGTTTTTGCTGCCGACTTTATTTTTCGCAAAATATATTTTTTCTCATCTTATTACTTTCCCCTGAAATATTACAAAGTGTATTCGTGACATTACAACTTTTTACAATGACCTCTTAAAATGTCTTACATTCGCTGTACATTTGTTAAAAATAACTTTTTTGAATAGTAAAATGATACAAAAACTCCTCATCACACTAAGTTCATCAAAATTGCCGCCATTTGATTCTGTCATCTCTTGTACGACTTTTTCACAATGACAATTTTACTCGAGAACTTTACCCTATGAATTTTTGTAAATCGCATTTGTTATGATTGAAGATTACAACATTTCGCTGTCACATTACAACTAATTTGGAAGGTAAAACTTCTTATATCTCGACTCTCTAAATCCCGACAACTTTACTCACAAACAAACAAAGACTCTCTTGGCGTAAGAGAGCAACTTGAATCTTTTTTGACTTACAGCCTCTGGTTCAGTGACAACTTTTTACAGCGTTACTATCTGAAATTCTTCTCTTACCACAATGTGTTGGTAAGAATTGTTTTTATTGTTAAAATGGCAACTCACTCAGTGAAATATGGCAAACGTTTCTTGCAAGTGCAACTTTACACCTCAGTAAATTTCAAACGTCTCCAATGTTCTTGAACAATACGCAACTTGCAAGGACCACCTTATCAGTTGTCCTTTGGAGATGTTTCCAAGTGTGTTTCTATGTGCAAATATGGCTCAAAAGCCCTCAGCTTGTCCAAGTAGGAATCGAAAATGACACTTTTTACCTCACTATGGGTGTGTGGGGTCGGGGTGGAATAAAAATGTTGCTTTTATGGCTCAAAAGTGTGTCAAAGTGCAGGCTGCTCGTCAGTTGCAGTGAACCTTGACAAAGTGCTTGTTGACATAAGAGGCTTGGGCGTTGTTATCATTGGGGGGGGGGACTAACACCCCCCCCCCTTTAGTGAACGACACTACAGCTGTTGCCGATTTTTCTTCGGCGTGGGGGGGGACGTTCGGAAAGTTGCTTAAAGTTGATGTGTTTGTGTGTGCGTGCGTTTTTATGGGAGACGGGCGTGTCCAGCAAACTTACCCTCGGCAACCAGCTCCTCCACAGTGACTTGATACCGGCCGACGGCGAACACTTTGCCGAAGTAGCTGCTGAGCCCGGAGCCGGATCCGGAGGCTCCCCCGGGGCCCCCGCCGCAGCTCTCAGACTTTGGCATTCTGGAAAACTTCTTCATCTTTTCTTGTTGTCGTTGTTTTTAACGAATCCCGGCGCTCAATTGAAACTGGAACAAAACGCGGAAAAAAAAACTGGCACAAAAGTGCAGTCCTATTTATTTATCTCGGTTCTTCTCTCCTCCGAAGCGGAGCCTTTTCTGGCTCTCGGCATCGGGTTAGGGAACCTCCGTCCGACCCCGCCACTTTCGGGTAGGTCGTGCAGGTGACAGCGTCCACCTTGACGGTGACGAAGAGGCTGGGTTGGCTGCTTAGCTTACGTGACACTAGCGGCTAACTCGGAGGGGCGCTGCTTTTATAAAAGAAAAAATACAAACTAAAAAAAACAGCGGAAAAAATAAACAGTGGCAATTTGAAAAATATATCCGCGTCCAGTGGTTAAACCCTCCGGTGGCTGATAATATACCCAGCCTGGTTGTCGTCCGAAGCGGCAGCGGCGGCGTCGGGGGGCTTTCCACGCCGCGACGAGGCGTTAGCCACCAGCTAGCCAGCAAGCAAGCTAACAGGCTTAGTCAGGAGATCCTCCCGCCACCGTACGAGCGCAGGTAAGCCAAAGTAAAGCCGCGAACGGGGCTCCTCTTGGTCGGCGGAGCCTCAGGCGAGGCGGCGTGGGGCGGGCTCGTCCACGCCAGCGGCACGTCGCTTGTTCCTCGCTGCCATTTTCGCAGGTTCGTGGCGACTG